CTCAATTATTTTTGTTGCTCAATTTGTGATTCGATCATATAATCTTAGGCAAACATTCAAAAAAAAATATTTCCCCTATTGCCCCAAATTGAGCCAAAATTATGAAAATTTAAGACCCATTTTCTTGATCATAATTTGGCCTAAATTGTAAATTAAGGACAAAAAATGCCCGTTAATGCCCAAAAAGGCCCACTAATTGAAGCCCTTAATGGCTTTCATTTTCTGCGCTCATCTTTGGTGAATCGCGCCCCCTCCCCACCCTTATGGCCCGCTCTTTTATTTTCATCTCCAAGAATAGTATTTTATCATTCTCATCAATAATAATAACCCGACAACATTCAGGGATGGACCTGAAAACCAAAAAGAGGGAGCCGAAAGCTGTCCGTTGAGGGCCAAAAATCTGAAAATGAGGGCCCATTTTCTTAAAATTAGGCCCAAAATTAAAAAGAATGCCCAGTAATACTAGTTGCACCATTTTTATCCTGCGTTCGGAAGAATCAGAGCTGTAGTGTGGATAAAAATTAAGCCACGTGTACCTACCAATGTAATATTTAGCAAATGTAATATCTCCCAAAAGATCCACAGTATATTATCAAATTGAGACAGGATACAGTTAGAGGACGTGGATTTATTTCCATATTTCTTAACGTAAAATACATTTTACATTTCTGTCTAGTTTTCTACCAGACATAAAATAGATCCATCAAGCAGTCTGTAGAACATTGTTGGCAAAAAAACATATAGGCAAAGATAGAGAATAGTGGGCGCAGTGAAGGAAAAATTTAAAGCAATACAAGATACATTTTAGTAAATCTATTAAAGTACAGGGAGCGTGTAAGTTTCACTTCGAATATGTTACTTCTTTTGACATCGATATGTTACAAGATCCCAGTTAACTGTTATTTATACTGCGTGGCAAACTGTTATATGTAGATTCGGTTTCTACTACGTTATTCAACTAAACTTTTGTTAATTAATTCTTCTTCTAAAATCTTAAGATGAATGAAAAGTCCCAGCAATGTATCTTTACTTTGCCATAATGCAAAACAAACATGTTTCTTCTTGTCACAAAGAGGATGATGTTTGTTTTGAGGTGTCTGGTGATGAGCGTTTCATGATTAAATGCAAAATCACTGGAGCAGATATCACCCCAAAACATATGACATTCAACATGATACATCGATCTGGTAATCGTTTTCACAGTTAAAAGTATAGTTATAATATTATGAATCCATTTTCTACAAATACACTAATTATACTGCACTATAGTCAACATTCAAAATATATTTATGTAAAATTGGCTGAGAAAATCAAAGAAACCATTCTCAAAGTTGTAGCTTGAACCATTAAAAAGTTATAGGGGTCTAAAGATGGAAAATCGAAAAAAAAATTGTCGAAAAGTATGTGTCACATGACATGGGATGTCATATTCTGAGTCACTGATAGGTGTCATATTTTTTAATGTTTTCAAAGAATACAAAAAAGGTATTAATAATCTAAAAACCAAATGTAGATAGCATGATTGGTTCAATTTTTATAACAAAAACAAGAAAAGTATGTTTTTATCATAAAAATTATTTGTTTGAAGTTTTCATTTCAAGTGTATCAGGGTGGGGACCACAAATATCTTTTAAAATATGCAGCAAAGAATCTGAAAATTCTATATTTATGTGTAAAAAGAAAGGTAATGAAATCATTTTCAAATTGATAGGTTGAATGATTAAAAAGTTATAGGGGTCTAAAGATGAAAAACTAAAAAATTGTCGAAAAGTAAATGTTATAATTGTCATATGACACATTATGTCATATATGATGTCACTTATAGTTGTCCAATCTTTTTTAACTTAAAGAAGACTAAAAAGCTATCAATACTCTGAAAACCACAAGCAGATAGCATGATTGGTTCATTTTTTTGGTTATACATAATAAATATTTTAAAATTCTTTTTATTCAAGTATATTGATCGATTCATTCAATTAGTTACAGCTAGGATGGTGTGAGGAATAGTTTTATCTTGATGCAAAACTCAGGCTTTGCCTCTTTATTTACCTGTAAGTTAAGCAGCATGAATAAATAAATCATGAAGTATGAAGGTTATTTATTTCCCCATTTATGAGTTAGGCATCATCTTGTGCCTCTCTAACATTAACAAGTTACCTTTAGATCTTTTTGATGGGAAGCAAGAGCAATGAGACTACTACTAAGTATTATTCAGCTCTTAGAATTTGCCTCCCAAATAATACCTGCACATAAACTTGTGCCTCTTTATTAATAAACAATAATCTTAATAATCATCATATGCTGTTCTAGAAAAGTGGGAATGCTTGTAGAAATTAGTAAGTGCCTCTTAAGTTGGATCATGATCAATAAGAAGTCTAATTTAGATGTGCCTCTCTATGGAAATTCTGTATTTTCAAAAAGTTTAATTAAACCGTGTGTGTGTAAAGCGAACGAACGCGATTTCAAGGTGGGGCGCCCCCGAACCGAAGGCTCGGAGCTGACCTTTAAACCATCGCCAAATGCCTAAAATATTGCTGATACAAAAATTAAATTCTCAAACATTATTTGAACACCTTTTGATTAAATGTTGCCTTTTTGATGAGTAGCAAGAGCATTGTGATTATTTTTGCCTCTTTTAATAACTTGAATAAATACAAATGTAAGGCCAGTATGTGCCTTTAAATAGTTAGAATGTTATCAATCTCAATTATAATTGTGTGTCACTCCAATCAATTAGAAATAGATGTGCAGCTGGTAAGTATTTCTTAAAGCAGAAGCATAATTACAGTGCTGATATATAATATGAACGGACCGGCTCCAGTACCGACAATTGTCGGTACGGGAGACTGCCCAGTTAGGATTTGCTCCAATACAGACTTGTCGGTACTGGAGACTGCCCAGTGAGGATCTGATCCCGTACCGACAATTGTCGGCACTCTAGATCTATCGTCTCCTAGTAGGGCAAGATAGAGGACCGACATTTTCAAAAATAAATACACTAGTTTCACTCTTGTTTTTATCGGTCACTGATGGTGTAGTGGTTAGCGTCATCGACTGTTACACTGTGGTGCGAGTTCGATTCCTGCTTTTATCTTCATTTTTTCTGTGTTTAGATTATACATTTTGCTTCTTTTGCGGACCCAGTTTTGAAATTGTTCTTTTTATATTAGTAGTAACTCAATAAATATTTTGAGCAATTGACGCTACTACAATGATCTGGCTTACCCTCAAACGCTGGCTGGCTTACATTCATGATTTCCTGATGTTTTTTTGCGATTTACAACCACATGACAATATATGGATACTAATATTTAATACATTTAATACACACACTTCAAGGGAAACATTATGATGCATAAATAAACGAACATGAAGCTTATAGGTGACTTAACCAAATCAACAGTTGACAAAAGCCAGATGAAAACCATACAAAACGAGTATTTATATATTGTTGCATTGGGAATCACGATTTACACCTTTCTGATACTTTCAGGAGCATCGTTCAGCAATTACACGTAATAAACGTACTTAATCAATCCAGGATTCATTTATATTAGTACTCGAAGCGCTAACTATATTGGTAATCCAGCGTAGTTTTACATTTAGAATCGATTCTTCCTACCAATCAAATTGAGGCTTTCTGTATTGCGTTTTACCTGTGGTATATGGCATATTTCGCAGTTGAGTATGCCATATTCCGCAGGAGAGTATTGCATACTCCCGTATCACAAATACCACACACCCATGAATATATGACATATTCCGCGTAACACCATGCACATTAAGTTATTTTACAGTTTTTGGCAAGCATTTCCATATAGTATTTGAAATATTTTAATGACGCTAATCCAATGAAACGTATTATTCCTTCTATCATTCATTATATTCTGGTTTTGAATGCCAAATACAGCTCCATGTACCACTGGATTAGGATATCAAGCGCATTAGAAATAATGTTTGGCACAGCTTACGTTGTTATTGTACTCGTCTCGGAAAATAAAGATTAGATCAATTACATTTAGTGGTTCAAAAATATATATACTATCACACTTGTACAAAACATGATTCTAGTATATTACTGACTATATGTCAGAATTGGTTTTGGTATAAAACCAGCGAATTCTGTATAATCAGCTTACTTTCTCGCTACCTGTGCAGTTGGACAATTTAAATTCGTTGCGTCCTGTATCGATCAAATTTTCAAATTTTGTACCCTGTATTAGGGAATATATATAAACATATCAAAAATTTGAAAATCTAAAACGATATTGTTTCTTTGAACATACATATTGTTTTTGAACATGTACTTCACCAATCTACCATGATTGGAATTGAGTGAGTTATAATATTGATTAATTATAATTTCTTACTCGACACGTTCTAAGCTTTCTTAGTTGCAGTCGATTTACTCAGAAGCGCCCGGGTCGAAAGTCAGAAGTTCACGTCGTGTCCGCGATCAATGGCATGCTAGTGTGGTGAGGCATATGTCACTCTACTATACCTAACACCTAGAAATGCATATAAGATACTTTGTTTTGTCTAATTGTATAACATCTAACATTCAACCGATAAACCATTAATAAGGAATAGACAAATAAAAACAAATACATAATCATTACTAATAAGTCAAATGGGTTGATCATAAACACCAAATGCAAGGTATATAGTGATGTGCCGTATTCTATATCTAATTATACCTCTTTCACACGACAGATACTGTATCTTATGGGAAATATATTTCCAAAAAGGCAAAACTTTCTCAGTTCATTCAAAATTGAACATTCGAAAAGTATTAAGATGGTTCAGAACTGGTGTGCATGCAAAATTGAAGGCGAAAATAAATAAGTCAATTGTCCAATAGACTAGATGCACGTATGTAGTTCAGGATTCTCAGGCTTGGATCCTCTACTGCCATTGTTTTAAAGAAATCTCTCTACCAATCCCAGCAGCGTACAAGCCAAGTGTACTAATGCCATGCCATTATTAAAAAAAAATGTGATTTACTCCAACTCAGAATCGATTCTGCGTTCCAGACGTTACAGGGCTAGTGCAAAATCCGGGAAGGGGGTCATCAAGCCATTAAATATGTTTAGAACATGAATCTTGTAAGTTATGTTAATGTTTTATTTACATTTATTTCGCTGACAAGACGAGTATGTACACGCACACTGACACATGACGTATAAAACAGACAAGTAACGAACTGTTTACAAAATCACAAATAGCCTACTGGCATATATAATTAATCGATTATAGAGTAACAAAGTCTGAGTTATACAACATGTACATGTATGTCTCTCTGCGTTAATCTGCGTGCATCGTGGCGTGTGTATGTTTTGGAATCCCCGACTAACACTAGTAATTAAACATGATACAAGTACTGCGTCTATAAGAATTGTTTACAAATCTTTAACAGATACAGTGGCACCATTTTCATAACTATCGGCATTTAGGCAGTTAACCAATTTTTCAGCAACATCGTCTGGTTTAAACATGTGTCCCTCGGCATGCATCTTTTTCGAAAATGTTAGGAATTTATCGTCCCAGCAGTTAGACCAATGGTCTTCTAGCATATGTGTTGTCATGACACCGGGGTCAAAGTTCAGGATTCTCAGGCTTGGATCCTCTACTGCCATTGTTTTAAAGAAAATCTCTCTACCTGCCTTCCCAGCAGCGTACAAGCCAAGTGTACTAATGGCACGGTTCGCTACCACGGCGCTGATATTCACGATAGTTTTTTCACTGCATTGAAGAAAATGTTTTATAAATCGTGATGTGATGACAATCGTTGACGTCAGATGAAGATGAAGGCATTTCGTAATTTTCTCCGTGTCGTCTAATTCCACTGTCTTGATACCTGTCAAGCCCATGTGTTCCGATGCGTTGTGAATTATCATCGCCCGAGAAAACGCAGATGCTTTTAATTTCTCAAACGATTCATAGATGTCACTCAAGTGTTCACTTGTCGATAAATCTGCCATCACAAGTCGAATGCTGAGATGTTGGTACGTTGCAACAAGTTCACCAGAGAGCGCCTCCAGCCTGTCCTTATTTCTACCGTGCAGTAAAACAACAGATCCATCAGGTAAACGAGGTGCAATTGACAATATGATACTTCGTCCAAGACCTTGACTTGCACCAGTAACGAAACAAATTATCCTCCCCTTAAACTTTGGACTCATTTCGGCTGCCATTTGTTCAAGGAGGATTTGCTCACAGGATGAGTCGACCCAATCTGCAGATTTCACTAAAACGGGCAGACACAACAAAACATTACATGGCGAGGATGGTATCAGGCCCCTCCTGGTTTAAATCAATTATTATGCATGATTATGAATAAAAATGAGCAAATATTATGTTTATATGCACAGCTCGTCGATGTGTTACGATTTTGGTAGCCCTTGCAGATATATTTCCTAAATTATTGTCACCTTTATATTTAACTCGGCGAGGATGGTACCAGGTCCCTCGTGGTTTAAATCAATTCGTATGCATATTTATGATTGAAAATGAGCAAATCGGGAAGCAAATATTATGTTTACATGGACAATTGGTCGATGTGTTACGATTTTGGTAGCCCTTGCAGATATATTCCCTAAATTATTGTCACCTTTATGTTTAACATGGCGATAATGGTACTAGTCCCCTCGTGGTTTAAATCAATTCTTATGCACATATTTATTAAAAATGAGCAAATATTATGTTTATATGAACTATTGGTCGATGTGTTACGATTTTGGTAGCCCTTGCAGATATATTCCCTAAATTATTGTCACCTTAATGTTTAACATGACGAGGATGGTACCAGGCCCCTACTGGTTTAAATTAATTATTATGCATATTTATGATTCAAAATGAGCAAATATTATGTTTATATGAACTATTGGTCGATGTGTTACGATTTTGATAGGTCTTGCAGATATATTCCCTAAATTATTGTCACCTTTATATTTAACATGGCGAGGATGGTACGAGGCCCCTCCTCATTGATGAAGGTTTAACTCCCGACTAAAGACTGGACATAACATTTTATGTGTACACTTTATTTTGAACTGTGTAGGTAGAACATTTAGAAAGATCTTAATAAATCTGGAAAATGATAAAAAAACACATTATGAGCCTGGTACCTAGAGAAATCTAGAGAAAACACTCCAAGTTCAGTCCAACGACTGAATGAGACGAACCAATAACTTGAACTCATAACTTGCATTTTGTGTAAATAATGTTTCAATCCAACACCTAACAGAGGCTTTATGATTTCTATTTTGATTAATTCTACTCGTATTATACTCAAGGGGATATAAATAAAGAACTTTACGGTTTCTTTTTCGTTGTCTAAATATGAGGCACTAAGGCCCTCTTGGTATTCAAAAATCAGATAACGAGCAGAGATATTTTGAGCATCTTGAGTCCATTTCGAATTCATTGGAAATAGGCTATTAAAATTAGTAGTTAGTAGTAGCATCTGGGAACATTTAGAAATGTTAGTTACAACATTATTATTCTATTGTTGCGATTTATTTATGACGTTTACACAGCATTAAATCGGACAAAATGAGTGGAGGGTGATTTCTTTTAGAAAATTCACAAATATGTATGATTTTTTAATGACAACTCTATAAGGTATTCAATGATTTTTAGAACTGATACGTTTCTAATGTGTGAGATCTATTTATAAAGGCAAAGTACAATGAAATATTTTGGCTAAAAATCAAGGGGGTCTTCACGACATGTTATAAAGATGTCGTTTTCTCTAACACTAAACAAATATATGTAAATCATGAATTGAAGCTACCGCATATAGACTTTAATGGACGTTAGCAGACAAATTTAAATAAACTAAAAATGCTCAGATTATGTTCTCGTCACCAATCCAATGACAAGTGAAATTTAAAATTTGCCTTCTAAGATCATATTAATATATTGAAAGGAGTTATTTGATTGAAAACATATAAACTGTTGTTACTTCCAATATTTGCTTTATTAAATTGTTTTGGTAGCAATGACATATCAAGTGTTGAACAACTTTATCTTCATATGCGATAATACGTGTATGTACCATTCTCTCATGATTTTCAATGCAATTTAAAGAAGCATGATCCAAGTAAAATTGGAAAATAAGATCTCCCACTACATACAGCCATTGAGTGAGATTTATGACAATGATGGTTTCTGCATGTTCTTATTCCATGTCTAATGTGTTGACTGCTGTGACAAATAACAGACATGGTAATGTAGAGCGCTGACATTACAATTTAGTGTAAATATCGATACATGAATTCTTCTGGTCTTTAAAACTATTCATTATCTGTATTTATGTTCATGGTCTTTAAAACCATTTATTTCTTTGTATTTATTGTCATAGTATTTGAAACGAACTCTTGGCATATTATCATGTAAGCTGATAAATGGAAACATTAAGTTGTAATAACCCAGATGCGAGTAGGAATAATCTTGATTTACGTCATTAAAAATTCAGTCAAAGTAATATCATATTTGAAATCTACATGTAAAATTACATCTAGAAACGTGGTTTTAAAAAGTGTTTATCAACTTTGAAAATGTGACTTCTAGCCCGGGGAGAATCCCAATAGACCCCATGCTATAAAATCACAAAAATGAAATATATTTTATTTTAGTTGACAGATAATATTTTGCTTTACTGGACATATTTTCAGAAGTATAAGTATCAGACACATAAGGGTTATATGAAAATTGAGCCACTTAAATTGATAATATTTTTTATGGTTTAATGGAACTTTCTTATATACCTGCCATGTTAATTGACCCAAATCAGCCACCTGGTGGTGAAACTGGTAACTACCAACTCGCATTTGGGTAATTGAGCCAGGCCACAGGAAAGGGGGTCTTATCACAGATTTTTTCAATATTCTGATTTTTTGTTTATCTTAAAAAGCACAAAGAAACCTTTCAAATGAGCCATGGCTTATGTCTTAACAATTTTTCCTTGCATATATAGACCAAAAAATCGGATCTGAACTTAGCACATTTTCCTCTTAATCGTGGGCACATTTTTGGCTCTGTAGCACAATTTTAATTTTTGTGATAAGACCGGTTTTCCCATGGCCAGGTTCAATTATATTTTCGTTCACTTTATCTGATAAAAGAACTTTTTTTGATTATTTCATATAAGTATGATCGATGAATACAAGAAATGTAACACATTGACCAATACTACAATATATACTACTATATATAGTACATATATAAACATAATATATGTTCATTTTTATTGATAAATATGCATAAGAATTGATTTAAACCGAGAGGGGTCTGGTACCATCCTCGCCATGTTAAATATAAAGGAGACACTAATTTAGTCAAGATATCTGCAAGTGCAAGGGCTACCCAAATCTTAACACATCGACCAACAGTGCATATAAACATAATATTTGCTCATTTTTAATCATAAATATGCACAAGAATTGATTTAAACCAGGAGGGGCCTCGTACCATCCTCACCATGTTAGACTATAGAGTGTCTGCGAGTTTTATAAGAGTAGTTAGTAAAATCTGCAGTATGAATAGTATGCACAGGATCGAAACGGTTCTTGTGCCATGCACAACTACACGTACAAACTTTTTTAAAAATGCAAATACAAGTGTATCATTCGTATCACACACACGAATAATTTGAAATGTAAATACGAGTGCAGTATTCGTATTACCCACATGCCATTCTCTCAAACAGTGATATTTCAATGTGAAGGCCTTGATAAATTCTCATGTGTACACTTACTCCTGATCTTACTCCATCTCAATACTAAGCAATGAGGTTGTAGATTCATGTAGTACACGTAGCTATACCTGGTCTAACATCGACAGTCTGTATGTATACCTCTCCATGGTATGCATATTTGGCGTAATCAACATACTATGATTTGGTTATTTTCAATAAAAGACGATAGCAAACGAAGCTAAACCTACGGTGGACACTACACTACAGTGTGTAGGGGAACATGGGGCAAAACGGCCCTCTGGGGCAAAGTGGCCCATCGAAATATCTTTTGAACTATAAAAAGATGGTTCTTCAAAAGTCACAAAATCGAATTTTGAAATATCTGCCACCTTCTCGACCGTCCATTTTTAACCCGGGCAAGCAGCGTCTCGCTTTACGTAAGAGGTAATTCTACTTTTCACCCTCTTTTTTGGAAATTACCCCTCTCACGAGAATCTCTAAAAAATCCGGCAACAATAGAATATCGTTTTGATTTAACATTTTACATAGAGTGTGCACATTTATTCTTTATTTGTAAAAATTCCGAGCTTCAAATATTAGGCAAATTAAAATGACGTCTATTTGAAAATTCACATGTCTTTGGGGCAAAACGGCCCACACATGTTATAACATACAAAAATCTTATTGTGCAAGAACAATTGGTTTTCAAATGTAAGAATTTTAACATCTGGCTTGTGCCTTATTTCCTTCCGACACATATCGAATGACTAGAATTATGGTAGGGGTTAAGAATACTTAATCTGTCAAAGGTTTGAACGTCTGAGATAAGATGTTTGTGGACGAGTCTTGTAATTGATTAATTTTGGTTTCAAAACCCATGTAACAGAGGGTGGGCCGTTTTGCCCCACCCATGGGCCGTTTTGCCCCACTCTCGACAATATTTTTGACCACTGAAAAATCACAGAAGATAGTCCTAGGAAAGTATAAAACACTCGAAAAATGTAAACCACAAACCATTAATAAAGTGGAACATCAAAGTGCGCGATGATTGACAGATACGAAAATACCCCGTACAGAACAACTTAAAATTAAATTTTTTGGGCCGCTTTGCCCCATGTTCCCTTATGCATACCTCATAGGCTCATGTTTTGGTGTAGCAAGCGTAGTTGGCGTAGTAAACATACTATCATGTGTTATTTTTTCAATAAAATACCCGTAGCAGACGTAGATATACCTAGCTAGGATGGACCCTACAGCACTGGCGGACCTATTTTTCCTCCCCCCCCCTTTGGATGGGCCCAAAAAATGGGTCCAAAAAAAGCCTTATGGCCCCAAAAAGTGGGCCTTTTTGGTTATAAATGGGCCTTCTAAGGCCTTATTTTTTCATTAAGGCCAAATTTTGAAAAATGGGCCTCAAAATTTCAAAATTTAGGCCCACTTTTTGGTTTTAGGGATCCTAAATTTTTTCTCAGACCAGAACTTTGCCCCCCCCCCCTTGTTGGTTCCAAGATCCTGCTACGGTGTGCCATGCTACACCAAAACATTGGCCTATAGGTATACATACACATTCTCATGATCTACCCCATGTATAGCTACGTCTGCTACGGGTATTTTATTTTCTTATCTTTCAATCATCGCGTACTTTCGGATGTTCGACTTTATCAATGGGTTGTGGTTTACCTTTTTCGAGTGTTTTATATTTGATGACTATCTTTTGAGATTTTTTTGTGGTCAAAAATAATACGACCCACCTACAAAATTATTATCAAAGTATTCTTAATTCCTACCATAATTCTAGTTACGACAAGTGTCGGAAGGAAAGAAGATACATGTACAAACCATGTTAAAATCGTTATAATTGAAAATCAATAGTTCTCATACATTAAGAATTTTGAAACTTACGTAACCTTTGTGGGCCGTTTTGCCCCACAGACACGTGAATTCAAATACACGTCATTTTAATTTACCTAATATTAAAAGCTGGTGACAGATAAAGAATAAATATGCCTACTCTATGACAAATAGTTATTCAAAACGATATACTATTGTTGTCGGATTTTTAGAGATTCTTGTTGGAGGGGTAATTTGCAAAAAAGAGTGAAAGGTAGAATTACCCCCTGCGTAAGGCAAGACGCTGCTAGGTTAAAGAACTTTTAAGGAACCATTTTTAAAGTCAAAATATATTTCGATGGGCTTTTTCGCCCCGCTGGGCCGTTTTGCCCCATGTTCCCCTAAGAGGCCCGTAGCCAGCTCTTGCCGAGGAGATCACTTTTTAAAACATCTAGGGGTTCACATTTGACAGTTCTTGCCCAAAAATGGACAAAATCACTGAAAAAGTGCCCAGAATGATGAAAAATATGAAAAATAGCATGAATTTAAAATATTTTTGGCCAAGGGGTTCGGCTTATCTGAGGTCTTGGTAAGAGGTATCTTTAAAATAAAATGAAAATTTGGAAGTTATATCAACTATTATGAATATGGCAATGTAAAAGACCTGTAAAATATTATATTAAAGAGTAACTAAGTATATGTATATGGGTTTCTATCATTTGAACCGAAGACCCTGGATTTTGGATCGGACGATGATTGTAATATTCCTCGCAGGCTTGGAATTGTTTATAGCATACCTCTTTTGCGATGATAAATAGCACATCCAGACCATTATAAAGACATCTTGTAATTCATCTTATGTTTCTGATGTGTTATTTCCCCGTTCTATATTTACCCTAATTATAAAGCAATCAAAGATCCTAGAAGAGGCACTTTAAGCTGTTTTTGCCGAAGTATTTACAATATATAGGACTGATCTATTATTGGACACAAATACGCATATCAGACACGGCAAAATTTTATTTCCCAAATAGAATCTAACATGGTTTTACAAGCTGTTGACGGCTATATTCAGGCCAAGACTGGACAATTGGGTAGAACCGATTACCTGGACAGGCAGTACATCCAGCGTCCCTATGTCCAAACATTTCAAAATTGTTTGCCAACCGTCCCTAAAATTGAGAGGAAAACGTGGCCGTCTTATGGTATTTCCGAGAGTCAGAACATTTTTTTTCTATATGCGTATTCTCTAAATTAAAAAGTCTATATATATATTGATAACACCAGACAGTTTTAATAAGTGCATCATTGTGAAAATATTTAAAAGGTATTCTGAGTAACATGAAAATAAGAAAAAAATATTGTAAAATCACTCAAAAGTGAATAGAAATTGTAATGATTGATAATGATAACATGTACATATAATAGAAATTGTAATGATTGATAACATGTACATATAATAGAAATTGTAATGATTGATAAAATGTACATATAATAGAAATTGTAATGATTGATAACATGTACATATAATAGAAATTGTAATGATTGATAAAATGTACATATAATAAAAATTGTAATGATTGATAAAATGTACATATAATAGAAATTGTAATGATTGATAAAATGTACATATAATAGAAATTGTAATGATTGATAACATGTACATATAATAGAAATTGTAATGATTGATAACATGTACATATAATAGAAAGTGTAATGATTGATAAAATGTACATATAATAGAAATTGTAATGATTGATAACATGTGCATATAATAGAAATTGTAATGATTGATAAAATATACATATAATATAAATTGTAATGATTGATAAAATGTACATTATGTTGAGGAATCGACTTGTAAGGTATGACTTCCAAATATGAAGGATCCGTAGCACACTAGCGCAGCAACATTTGGAGCAATATTTAAGGAGGAGCACATGTCCTGATATTTTTTAAATACCATTTGCTGAAAAAACTTCCGGCTGTCGGGTTGAAAAATGTCTTTCATCACAGAGGGTCAAAAATGTAAATATTTTGATTCGAGGTTTTATACCTTTTATAAGACACATCTACCGTTATTCTAAGCAAATGGACAATAAAACAGATTATCATCATGTAAAAATTTACTATAATTTTTTGTTGTTGTGGATATTATCAGATTTTAGGAACCCAATAAAAACAATTTTTCTCAATGACTTTATGCATTCGACCAAGTCTTGATGGTTGTTTCATAAGCAACTGGGCAATATCTAACTATGAGAAATAGAGTTTTAGCTGTAGTCGCAATTAGTCAAGGAATAACAATAGGCCCTCCTTTATTGGCAATGTTCACCGCGGAACAACAGCCCATATATCAAAATATATTGAGACCCATTTTGTAAAAAACTAGCATAATTTAAATCTGCACATCGCTCCAAAACGCAATATGTTGACATATATTGTTTTTACATTTTCAAGCTCTAATATAAAGTTTATGTAAATAAAAATTGTTTTTTCTTCGTAATATCAAAGAACAATCATTTAGTTAAAAAAAATAAGAAGGCGAATGCGGGATTCGAACCCAGGCCTCCCGCGTGCTCAGCGATGATTCTACCGCTACACCACCGTATTATTATGAATGGTGGAAGCAAGTAAACACGCTACTTATTTTGAATGCTATGATTCGGAAGTGACGTCACGTTCTTCATTTAGAAACCTTTCCAAAATCATATCGCCGGCTCCGATCGAAGCAAATTCAATGAAAAATCTTTGAAATGACACATTTACCGTAAGTATTTCTACACAAGATTTGCCCCATTTGTTCATCATTCTATAATCTTTCATTAAGCTTAAAATGATAAAGTTCACCCCCGAAACAACCCAAGATTGCGTTTTGGAGCGATGTGCAGGTTTAAGCATTTGTTATTCTAATATTCATTTGTACCGTGTATCTTATTAATGTTTGAAAAACACTACATATCGCCGATGTACTGATTACATTTTTTTGTATTGATGATAAAAATAACCTCAATATCTCACAAAAATAAATCAAATCATTTTATATTATTTTCTGTCGCATTGTGCAGGCCTGTCAACTGTCCCGGAATTTGCGTATTTGTCACGCATTTGCTGAAGAATTTGAAGTCACGCCAGTTATTTTTGCGTGACAGAAAATGTCACGCAAATACGCATTTTACCTGGTAATTGTCAAGCAAAAATATTTCTGTAGAAAAATTTCTAAAAAAGATCGTCTACACAGCAAAAATACGAACGCCGGAAAAAAACGTCCGCATTTCGTTCGGACTTTTCACGCGAATTACGTATATGTCACGCATTCCGTTCGAAATTTTTCGTACCTACCCCCCACATTTGGACCAAGGTGTCCACATTTTGAGGGGAGGTGTTCAACATTTCCAAGTCACTCATGTTAGGTGTTCCCAAGTTGACAGGCCTGCATTGTGTACTCCAAATTGTGAAACAGGGATTTTAGTTTTTTAGTAATATTTTCACCTCTGCTAATGACAGATATAATTCAGCCTAAAAGCCGGAAGTTTATTAAACGGTTATAATAAGAATTGTTAGGGAACCGATATGTAAGTACATTATTATTAGGTCAAATGTCGATAGTGTGCTACCAGTTCTTTTAGACGTCCAACAAATTTTTGGTTTGGTTTGCACACAAATATATAGCAAAAAATATACACAATACCCGAGTCTTTGCGCAGGCTATCAGATTTCTCACAGCTGATATAGCCGCTGCATTTGGAGGTCTAGTTTGGAAGTTTCCAAGCATACAGAAAGCGAGACTCCGACTGTTATAAGCTCGTGTGGCCCCGGGGACAGTAGTCCATCCACGTCCCTCGTAAACCCTGCCGTCTTCTCCGATGAGGAAGTTATATGCGATATCACTCCATCCTAGAAGATAAACATGAGCAGATGACATATGAGCGAGATGGCACGGGGAAAGGGGTCTTATCACAGATTTTTCAATATTTTTTGTTTATAACAAACGCACAATAAGACCTTTCGAATGTTTTTTTCCTGCAGATATAGACCAAAAAGATTTGAGCACATTTCCCTCTTAATCCGGGGCACGTATAGAGTTGCATGTGTATACCTCGTCCATCGATATGGAAGTTCTGAATCCGTCTCATCTGGAGACTACAAGATGCCTGGTCGCTACAAAAGGCACCCGCGGTGTGGTGAATAAACAGCATTGGGGGAGGGCGTCTGATGGCCGTTCGCCGGCGAGGGGCACGCGCTCGCCAAGATGAACGGGGAATAATTTCAACTTGGGAACAGTCTCCACCTACCAAAATAATACATTTAATGATAGCACGTCTGATTTCAATGAACAACGTTTTGAGATCTAAGTAAGCATGCGAGTCTGATGTCACTTTATTATCATGATTGTGCACGACACTTGCAAATATATATAGAGATTATCCTATATGAGGTTCAGGATATTGGGATTATCCCGAGGCCAATATAATGTATCTGCCCGAGGGCCGCAATTTTTGATTGATTAAGTGGATGCCCCTTCCCTTTTTTAAACCACCAAACAGATCCCGATTGTCTGTGCTTTCTCCATTGTCGTTTACAGTCATTACGCGAACGTTACAAATTATGAACAAATATGCGAGCGGCGATTATGACGTAGCGGGCAAATATACTCTATCTGCCCGCTCGGAGCGGGACGTAAAGCTATATCTGCCCGCTGATGAAAATATAAGTTTTTACAAACCGGCTTTATGTACCTGTAACACGTCCAAGTACTGTATGGGATAAATATGTTTATCCCATACTTGGACGTGTTATAGGTACATAAAGCCGGTTTGTAAAAACTTATATTTTCATCAGCGGGCAGATATAGCTTTACGTCCCGCTCAGAGCGGGCAGATATAGTATATCTGCCCGCTACGTCATAATCGCCGCTCGCATATTTGTTCATAATTTGTAACGTTCGCGTAATGACTTTTAAAGACAATAGAGAAAACATAGACAATCGGGATCTGTTTGATGGTTTAAAAAAGGGGAACGAGTATCCACTTAATCAATCAAAAATTCGAGAAAATAAATCTGGGAATATTTGAGAGAACAGGAAAATCCGCCGACGGCCAAGAAAACAAAACTGGACATGAATATTCTGAAATATTTCCACGATTGAACAATGTGAACCAGATGACCAAGATTGGTATGGGATAAACATATTATCCTATAGTCGGTTCGGGATATTGGGATTATCCCTTGGCCAATATAATATATTTTCCCTCGGGACCTGCGGCCCTCGGGCAAATATATTATATTGGCCTCGGGATGATCCCAATATCCTGAACCTCATATAGGATAATCTCTATATATGTATTGTGCCTGTTGTACCAATTCGTAATATTTCCATTTCATAATTTCAATTCATATTTCTACACGAAGGACGTATAATCATGTGTTGATTTATGAATTTTACTCACGTGGTGGAGGGGTGCGTCTACATTGGGCGGCTGTTCCAATAGTTAGAAACTGTCCTGCTGCCCAGCCGTCCTAAAACATTTTGACGGCTATGTGCGTGAATGTGAAAGCGTTCAATCAATCATGACGAGTAACTATTTGCATTGATTTAATATCGTAGCTATTTTAAATAGTCTGAACAAATGTTAAGATTTACGAATTTTCATCGAGTAAACTTATAACACGATGACATGATAACAATTAAATAGTCTGATTATCTATACTTGTCTAGGGGTACCATTGCCCTTTGGGTTTTAGAGAAATGAAAACGTTTACTTGTACATGACGTCAATTTGTGATAAGAGGCACATAAACTGCAGTACATACCCTCCCATTGAAGTCAAAGTTGAAGAAATGATGCCTTGTTGAGCCAATGTTACAGTATTGGTTGTTCCCCTTGTAAGTAAAGCAATCACCGGTAGATGTCCTAGCAAGACGCGTGCCGCATGCTTGTAATTAACAACATTAAAGCATAATTATACTAAATTTGACAACAGACAGCATGGCTGCCTCACGTAAAATTGATTACTCCCATCAATTTCGTAATTTCATTTTATAAGTTGGCCGTTGGGTGAAAAAAAACTCTGTAAAAGTAAAACATGCACCAGTGCAGTGTTTCTCGTTGTAACGCTCTATGCCAAGTGTTTTGTTATGATCAGCCAATCAGCTTAGAGTATTTCAGTTCATTAGTTCAGGTATGATTAACTGAGCAGAATTTTACATCGCATTATGGTTTGATAAAGAACTGAAAGAGTGATAGTATATTTGAATTGCAATTAAGGACCCTGTATCATTCTTTATTGGATTTAAAGCATTCATATATTTACTAAACAATCCTGATAATACACTCAGACTCCACCCTCATGCATTGTGTTTACGAGTTAGTACATTTACTCATGCTTTTGAATTTTCAATATAGAATGATACGGGTTTTTATTCTTTAAATGAATGCCCATAGTTTTCTCAAGTCCCCAGTGGGGTCTATTTGGAAGTAGCGTCACTAGGTATATAAGACATATGATTAGAGGCTGACGGTAATTCCGGTTATACGGTTTCGGTACGGAATTGAGCATTTACCGGTATTGAAATTATTAACCGGTTAACCGACGATAATCCCCGGGGAAATAAAAGACACGTCGTTTTTTAATTATTTCGTTTAATTTCAACTTTCACGATGCGTAAATTTACATAGACATGTAGATGTCCATTTTGGGCAGTCCAGGTGTGATTTCCATGTTTGGCAGTTCAGGAAAGATGTCCATATTTGGCAATTCGGGTGTAGTAGCTTCTAGCTCAGGCTCAGATTTGGTTGTAGTTATGTTTGGCAGTTCCGGTGTAGTTGTAGTGTCAACGTCAGATCCAGAAACTGAATTATGTTTGTAATAGTCATTTACGAACAATAAGGCATTGACAACCTCAGGTTTAAGTCGTGCCCGTTTTGGAAGTGATTGTGTTGCCAGCTGCACTGAACTGACGTTCACTTGACACGGATGACGCAGGAATAACATGATATGTTTCAGCCAAACTCGCCACATCAGGATATTTTCCCCCGTTTACTTTCCAGAACTCAAGACAGTCAATAAACTTGGATGCTGATGACAAATAGCTGTCCAATTGTTGAAATGTGTAATATATTTAATTTAAAACTAAAAATACATCTTGATTCGTAAGATAGTTACATACTATTTCGTGAAGTTCATCAGTATGGGTTCAAATCGGTCTTGCACCATGTATGCATACAGACTTGAGAAGGTACGGAGAGAGTTAGGAACAAAGTGGGGGTGGCAGCGCATTGGCATTTTATCTTTTATCTTTTTACCGGTATTTCGGTAACGGTACGGTTATTAGCGTGACGGTTACCGGTACTGGTTTTCAGTACCGTTGCGACCTCTACATATGATTCGAATCCAGTACATGTCTAAACAATGGTTTTATTTAAATCGGTCCTTTGTTTTATTTTGAAGCTACTTAATATATATTCCTGTCTGTACCGAAAGTAGATTTTAACTGATGGTAAGTTCACATAGCATGATTATTTAACATGAGTGAGTGAGAAGTACGAATTTGTTAACAAATTTGTTGTTCCACCGTTGAGTTATTTTTACTTTAAACTTTTCTATTTCATTACATTCAAAGTGCTACTCTTAAATTGTGACACCGTTGTCGAAATTACGCCCATGATGAACGAAATAATGTTACATCCTAAAATTTAACATTCTTTGAAAAGCAAAAAAAACATACAAGATACTGTACACACTATCACAACTGTATTCTAGTTCAATATATCAACTTCAGCTCAATTAGATAATAGTTCAAATGAATTGGTAAAATTATTTCCATATCAATTTGAAAGAAATTCATATAAGGGTTACCGCACCAGTTGCTCTCACATTGAGGACTCTAGCGTTGACACAAAGGCAAGCTCCATTGGGCGGACTGGTCCCACTTATGTTCGCCTGAGCATAACCAAAGATAAGGTAGCACAACCCTAAAAGGTTCACGATGTGATTCATTGTTGATACCTGCTTCAATATGCTAAAAGGCAAACCTTTTGTAGGTTTCATTGAACTTGTTGCTTATCTCAGTGATTTATCAAACACTCCTCACAAAAACGTTGTGAAGTAGCTTAGTTTACACACCGACCAATACCTTGAGTCATCTGAAACTTAAATAAACGTTGCATGTTGAAGGTATCAATGCATTAAAACACATGGATTTTATGCCTGGGTCACATTTGCTCACATTTGCTGCGATTCATCGGCCGGCGCCCGGCCGATTGAGTATTCTGTTCAAAACTGAATACATTTGTGAACAGGATACTCAATCGGCCGGGCGCCGGCCGATGAATCGGATCAAATGTGACCCAGGCATGGCTTTGTATAAAAAACCTCCTACCCACGTACCCTCGTACCCACGTACGTGGGTCCTGTATGCAATGTATGCTTAATTATGGATGAATTTATGTACCCATATGCCTTTATTTCTAGATCGGACATCTGTCTCGTCATAAAATAAAGCCGGCATTGCATAATGTTCATTTGAGCTATTTGAGTGTTGTTTTTGATATATCGAAGCGATTTTTTGTTGATCGGGCAGTCTTACAGTGTACAACCAATCTATTGCTTGGCGCAAATTGGCCACGGGGCATGTGTTGTAAAGTGCTGTAGTTTTTGACTCCATGAGCAGAATATGGTCAAACTTTCACAACAAAATTCACATCGAATGACCTGAATGATTCTGGATTGACGAAGTTATTCAACTTTTCATCGGTCCTGTTTTTTAACACCCTGTAGTTTCGATTTTTATCACATATACTTTTTATTCTTTCAAACGATATTACAAGTATTCATTGTTTGCACGACAGATTTGAACTATACGTGTAATTTGTCTTATGTCTTTTATTTAATTTAACATCAGAATTGGAGATACAAAGTGATAGAGTGATCAATTCACACGATCTCAAGGAATAATAAAGGCTGCATTTCTGTTTAACCGTGGCGCAATTGAATAACGAAATATTTGAAAAGTAGAAGGATTCGCTATATTCGTTTTTAATCGCTTTTTGGCACAATTTAAGGATAATTGTGCGCACTAGTTCAGTGAATCATTTAGATGGAATTAAAAGTTAGAGTTGCCAAACTTATGCAGGGGAGTGTAAGTTTGGTTTTGTAAACTTCGACATTATTCATGGCCGTTTGATCCATAGGTAATATGAAGAGTAGAGTTTTATTTTGACAATGATTTGATGTAAAACTGGTTTGAATGATAAAAGTTCAGCTTTGTAGTTTCTAGCTTTTTGCGCGTAAAACGTGAATACAATGGACAACAACGACACCAAATCTTTGACTAACATACGTTAATAACGTATAATATTCGTAAGAATGAATTCTAATAACATTTGAAATAAACATCTAATAAAATGTGGTGAATTTAATTGGTTGGAAACTCTAAGAAATATATTTTTAAAAAGATGTCAACTTTTGGACAAGGGTAAACTTCCCGGGACATTTACAACCTGCATGAGGTAACAGGAGGCACGGATTGCACTGAACGAAGGCTAGGAGATTGCTAATCAGCACTGATGTGTTATACAGGTAAGACTGCCAGATCAACAAAAAACATTTCGACATATCAAAAACATAAATCAAATAGCTCAAAAATAATGAACATTTATGCAATTCCGGTGTAAAAGGGTAGGAGGTCCTATCAAATTATGGTCCTACTCTCCATTGATTTATATGGTGACCTAAATACAACTCTTTCCCTCATTATCTTATACGCAACCAGGGCCAGTAAGGGCCGTTAAGAAAGGGGACCATAATCCCTGGGGGACCATAATTTCTTTCACACCGGCTTTATTTTATTTTACTAGAGAGATGTCAGACCTATAAATAAAGGCATATGGATGCATAAATTCATCTATAATTCAGGATAAACTGAGATTGAATAATGTTTTAAACATTTAAAAATTTAACTCTTTAAAGACTGGGTCAGGACCCACGTACGTGGGTACGAGGGTACGTGGGTAGGAGGTTTTTTATATAAAGCCCCCAGGCATTAATAAGTAATTTTAAATAAGAGAGTAGGACCATAAATTAATGGGACCTCCTACCCTTTTACACCTGTGATGAAGATCGGACCAAATGTGACCACGGCAATACTTTGGTTTGGCACATCCACATAACCAATAAAAATAGAACCATTAGATAGAAGAAAAAGGCTTTAAAATGCTTTTTGTATAAAGTTCAAAGTAAAATTCATAACAAATGTTAAATAAAATATAATTTTTGGCTCGCTTTTGCCACGATTGCCCCCCCCCCCGACTGAAAACCTAATTTTTGGGCGATCGCACTGACTGAAAGCTGGCTACGCCTATGTTTGGTTACTAGTATTATGTTTTGACTTTACTAGTGTTATTCCAGTATTCACTGGATGTGTTATTCACATAATAGTGCGGATTAACCCACACCACTATTTTGTGATGTTTAAATCGATCTAATATAACCCCTGAATGAAATTCAGTTCTTGTTTTGATTAATGGAAACAAACCGACAGGCACGACATAGATATACAATGTATCGCTAATTCTGATGTCACCTCAATCCTCATACATCATCAACTTCTGAGTTTTAATAATATTACATTGATTTCTATCATTTTGCTAGGGAGGTAGGATTACTTTATTTTATTTCCCTCCCTCCTCCCTGTATTACACACTTTTCTTTTTAAAATGTTTCTAATTGTACTAATAAGCAGAGAATGTGAGTATGCACTTAATCAAGTTAAGCTAATTAGGTTTTTATATTGGGTGGTCGTACTAATTAGCTTGATGCCCGTATCTTATTAAGCGTATCTAGCTAATTAAGCGTATTAAGCTAATTATGCTTTTCTAGCTAATTAAGTGATCAACTTAAGACTCCCCGATGTCCAAATTAATATAAACTTAAAGCTGGACTTCCCTCCGAAACGCAATCTTGGGTTGTTTCGGGGGTGAAGTTTATCATTTTGAGCTTAATGAAAGATTATAGAATGATGAACAAATGGGGCAAATCTTGTGTAGAAATACTTACGATAAATGTGTCATTTCAAAGATTTTTCATTGAATTTGCTTCGATCGGTGCCGGCGATATGATTTTGGAAAGGTTTCTAAATGAAGAACGTGACGTCACTTCCGAATCATAGCATTCAAAATAAGTAGCGTTTAATTACATCCACGCTTCACTAGGACACGGTGGTGTAGGGGTAGAGTCCTCGCTTAGCACGCGGGAGGCCTGGGTTCGAATCCCACACCCGCCTTTTTATTTTTTTAACTAAATGATTGTTCTTATTACGCAGAAATTTTTTTTTTTATTTACATAAACTTTATATTAGAGCTTGAAAGTGTAAAAACAATATATGTCAACATATTGCGTTTTGGAGCGATGTGCAGGTTTAAAAATTGATAAGATAAATTATAATATCATTTCCAATTGTTGCTACACCAGGTATATGGATTTGTGGTAAATGAGCCTTTTCATATTTATGCAGAAATATGCAGAATTTTCATAGCATTTCAGATAAACCATGGTTCTTTGGAACGAAAAAACTCGAAATGTTAACACCTCCTCATTTGAAAGATCTATTATGTTTACCCATGGGCTTGGATGCTCATGGTTTACCCAAAGGTTTATCTATTATTTTTCGACTGTAGCGCTATCCTAGCTACAGTACTCAAAGTATTTTACACAATAATGCGGATTAACCAGCAACACCATTTTTGTAATGTTTTCGATCTAATATAATCCCCCATTAAATTCAATTCTTGTTTTGATTAATGGAAACAGGGATAGAGAAATAGTGCATTGCTAATTCTGATTTCTCGTCAATTCGCATATGTCATTAAGTTGAGTTCTAATCATATTGCATTGATTTCTATCATTATCATAAGATTAATGTGTGTTCGCAGAAAAACACAAACGGGCCCTGTTTAAGTCATTGCTCCAAATTGCATCATGATAAATCAATTTTGAAGGCAGACAACTTGATTCAAAAAGCCGCCTTACCGCAAACCACATATTTTTAAATCAATAATTTCAAGTGGCGTATTCACTGTAATATTGACATTGATTGATACAATTAATGTTGGGGTTAGATGATTAATTACGACTAATCATGGGTTTCAAATTGTAGGAACGTAATACGACATTCATATTCATTGTATCTATTACTCCGTATATATTTTCCTACTTTCCACACTAGGTTTCTGTACTTATCAATATAAAAAATCTAAGCTAATTTAAAGGCCCCGTATAGAGTTTAAACAACATTGGCTCATTTTATGATCTTGCCCAATGTTTCCAACTGGTGTGTAAAGCTTTTCAATTTAATTACAAAAAATAATTTTGAAGGGCTTTTTGTTCCAAAAATTGTGAATTTATTTCAAATAATAATTTAGTCATTGCAAACATATATTGTAAAGTAGAAATTTACACTAACGCATTACATACACACAGGGTGGTCCAAAAAATGGACACTCGTATTTCAAAAATAAACATTGATTTCATTGATGAAAACATGTTACATTATATACCAGTGGATATGAAATTCAATTATATTCAATTTGGTTTATCATAAGTTAAAATGTATTATAATGCCATGCATATCCAAAATTATGGCATATTCTATACTTTATATACTTTCGAACTGCTTTTTTTTAAATGATACTTTTTTCAGTCCTAGACGATTGGACTCTCTAAAGTCTATACATGTCTATACTTTCATTCTATACTGTCTATACTTTTGATTTTGGTGAATTCCCTATGTCTATACTTTCGATACTTTCGATACTTTCTATACTTTACATTTTGGTGAATTCCCTATGTCTATACTTTCGATACTTTCTATACTTTACATTTTGGTGAAATCCCTATGTCTATACTTTCGATACTTTCTATACATTGTAAAACAATATGTGACGTCATAAGTTTCTTGGTCACTTTCGATTTTGGTGAATTGCCTCAATGTATTGTAAAACAACAATAT